CCACAGGGTCAGAGAAGGGGCAGGGAGGTTCAGGAGGGGGCAGTCAGGGGACAAGGAGCAGGGAGGCTTAGGTAGGGGGTGGAGTCCTGGGGGGCAGTTAGGTAGGGTTACCATACGTCCGGTTTTTCCCGGACATGTCCGGCTTTTTGGTCCTCAAATCCCCGTCCGGGGGGAATTGCCAAAAAGCCGAACGTGTCCGGGAAAATAGCTTTGCCGGCATCCCTGCCCCAGACCCCTGCTTACCTTGCGGCTCCCGCAGGCTGCGAGCTGCAGGCGGATTCCCCCGCGGCGGCTGCTGCTGCTCCCCCCAGACACCTCAGCTCTGTGTAGCTGAAGAGCCGAGCTGCCCGAGTGCTACCGGCTTCACGGTTTGCCAGGCAGCCCCCAGACCCCCAGACCCTGCGCCCCCGGCTGGGCGCTTCCCCTCTCGGGCTCCGGCTGCGCTGGGGAAGCGCCTGGCCGGGCGCTGGGTCTGGAGGCTGCCCAGCAAACCGTGAAGCCGGTAGCGCTCGGGCAGCTGTTTCGTGGCTGGGAGGGAGGAGGGGGAATGCAGGGCGCTCAGAGGAGGGGGTGGAGTTGGGGCCGGGAAGGGGGCGGTGCCAGGGCCCCATGGAGTGTCCTCTTTTTTTAATGAGGAAATATGGTAACCCTAAAGGACAATCTCATTTAGCTGTTAGCAGTATGGGGCCTAAGACACACAGTTGGCCAGTTCTAGTCCCATCCACTAGAGGGCAGTGTGCACCTCCGCACCCGAGCCAGTAACACAAAATGCTAGCGAATCCGGCCCAAAGTAACGCAGGAGGGAGGAAGCGGGTACAGGGAAGGCAGATTGGTGCCTTACCTAGAGAAAGCACAGTCTCCAAGTTCTCCTTCATCACCTCCTTGTAAAGCTCCCTCTGCCATTCTGCCAGAATCTCCCACTCCTCCTCAGAGAAATAGACGGCAACGGCGTCAAACGTCACCGGGACCTGAAACAGCAACGAGTGCACGTGTGGTCGGATTAGTCTCATTTATAGGACAGCAGCACCCAGTCGCGCATGGGCCCTCATTGGGCCAGGGGCTAAAGAAACACACGGGGAGACACAGTCCTGTTCCCAAGAGTTGCACAATCCAATTTTCAGACAAGATCTGGTTCAATGGACAGAGGGCTGGGCTGGGATACAGGAGAACCGGGCTCGGTTCCTGGGTCTTCTGCTGACTTGCTGGGCGATTTGTACGAGTCCCTTCCTCTCGCTGTGCCTCTGTTTCCCCTTCCACCCATTGCCTGTGTTGTCTATTAGACTATGGTCTTTGGGGAAGGGTCAGTCTCTTTCAGGTGCTATGAAGGGCCGGGGCGAGGAGGGATTGGCCCAGGTGGGGAGAAGAGGGAGATGGCAGCAGGACGCCGTGCACGGCTCCGTGAGTCACACTGAAATCAGAGCAGCTTTTTTTAACCTCCGCCGTTGTCTGTCGCATGTTTTAAAAACTCAGCTTCTGCCAGTTTCTGGATTTTTGTTCCAGTTCCCCTCTAGTTCAACCCGATGGCGCCTGGGGCAGCGAACCATCCAGGGGCCTTGCCAGACAGATAACTGACAGTGGAGACTTTCCAGGCATTTCACCTCACCAGCACGGACCTGTGGCTGGGGCAGGAAGTAAGAAGACTTGTCTCCTGCTGAAGCGGCCGGGGGAATTCAGGGGGGCAGGATCGACTGATCAGAGCTGGAATTTGGCCACGATGCCAGGACAGGGCCGTCGGAACGGGGGAGCCAAGGGACCATGGCCCCATCGCTTTTCAAAGTGGGAGGGCCTTTTTACCAGCCCTATGGGTGAGCGATGGGGGGTGTGGAGAGGAGTGAGCAGGGACAGGTTATTGGGGAGAAGGGATGGCAGGGTCGGGGCCTCGGGGAGAAGGGGCGGCGGGAGTGGGAGTTTGGGGGATGGGGCAGGGCCAAGGTTTGGACGACGGTGGCCCCCCACTTTTAGGGAGCTTCCATCGTTCCTGTGCCAGGATCAACATTTTGCTACAAATCTATGACTAGATGATATACTCGTTCCCAGCACGGCTTGATCTAGTGAGCTGTGGGTTCCTCCCAACCCCGGTCCCGAGAATTTGGGGGCAAAGTCAGTTTGGATCAAAGCAACAGACCCGTCTGCATCAGCCCTAACGAGAACAGGCCAAAGCCTAAGGTTCTTACTCAGCAATTTTTCCGGTTCCTTAAGTCAGTGAGTGAGCATCTGATCTGATTCAGGATTGAATGAGGAGTCAGGAGCACTGGGTGGGGAGTATTTCCCTCTGCCCTAGCCCAAGCAACAGGGGCTCCCCCAAACAGCCTGACAGATCTCAGTGCAGGCCCCTCTTCCTTTCACCCGTTTTATCCCCCAGCTCTGTGCTGTTCAGGGCAGGCGGGGAGGGAGGCGGGCGCAGTGTGCGCGGGGGCAAGTGAGCCGTTGCACCCGGCCAGCAGAGAAGAGACGCCGAGAGAAACACGGGACCCACCCGCTCGCTGTCACATCGGTGAATGAGACAAAGGTTCCAGGTCAGTGCCACAGCAACGGCTACAAGACAGGTTGCGACCGCCCACCCCGGGGGTGGGGACACGGGCCGGGGCTGCTTTCAGGCCCCCCACCCAGGACAGGTGGAGGGTCCGGGGCTCCCCAAAGCAGCCCTGGCTCCCTGGACGGTTCTTAATCACTTATCACTGCCCCGCTCTGGCTTCTCTCCTGGCCAGAGGGCGGGGCCTTGGGGGGAAGAGGAGGAGTAGGGGGCAGGGCCTAGAGGGGAAAAGCCGGAGCAGGGGCGGGGCCATGGAGGGGGACGGGATTCCTGCACGTGTCCCACTTTTGCCTTTTGAAAAGATGGCCCCTGACCAGCGCCAAATGCTGGGTTTGCTGCTATGGAAGCCAAGTCAGACCCTTCTGCCCCCCGTAGCCGCTCTCAGTGACAGCAAAGAGAGCTAGGGAGTGGGTGCAGAGCAGAGCCTCTGTCTAGACACAATCCCAGCCCTGCGTTGGACTTTCGACGCATCCCCATCGCTAGCTCCCTGCCAGAGGCCCGCTGGGGATCTCCCCCAGCCTTTGTGGAAGGAGAGCTTGGGAAGTTTATCATCTATGATGGAGATGGGAAAACACTGGGATAGCTCCAGTGAAGTGAATGGGATTAGAACAGGAATCCTTCTGGCCCGGCCCATTCGCTCCATGCCTGATCATAGGTCCCGGTTGGGCATTAACTAGATCACATTCAACAAGCTTCCTCCCGTCTTGTCTCCTTACCAATCTCTTACCCTGATTTTTCTACATACCCAAGTTGCTGCAGGGACAGTATTGGATTTGGGTCTGGAGGTCACCGTCTGAGCATGCGGGGTGATGACAGCCCTTGAGAACCCCTGTCCTATTAGAAACCTCTCTTTAGAAAGGATGGGGAGAGAGGGGGCAATAGATTTACAATGGATACAAAGACAGCCCTTTTTTAAAAAATGCAACATCTAATTAATCTGTGGAACTCATTGGCACAGGATATTCTTGAGGCCAAGAACTGAATAAGGTTCAAAACTGGTGAGAAAAGTAGGTGAAATTCACCCCCTGTAGAGACCAGCACAAAGACCAGTTACATCCCATTTCAGCCCTACAAGATCTATGCACCACTCAAGTTCCACTTGTGAATTTCACCCTATCCTGATAACTGAGATCTGCCCATTCATGTACAAAAAGAAACAATTTTTCATTGTCATGGATGGACTCAATTACTTAACAGAATATTAAAAACATAAGAACGGCTATACTGGGTCAGACCAATGGTCCATCTAGCCACAGACACTGACTTTCCAAAGTTCCAGGGGTGCGGGGGTGCTCGATATCCAGCTCTGCCCCAGGCCCCACGCCCACTCCACCCTTTCCCCCAAGGCCCCACCCCTGCCCTGCCCTGTTCCCCGCCCCCCCTCCACCCTTGCCCCCACCTCATCCTGCTCAGTTCCGCCCCTCCCCCGAGCAGGGCCGTCTGGGGGTGGGGGCAAGTGGGGCAATTTGCCCGAGGCCCCACAGAGGCCCCCACGAGAATATAGTGTTCTATAGTAGTGCAACTTTTTTTTATGGAAGGGGCCCCCAAAATTGCTTTGCCCCTGGCCCCCTGAATCCTCTGGGCGGCTCTGCCCCCAAACGCACTGCATCCTTGCTCCTCCCTCCACCCCCCCCCCCCCCAGCCTCCTGCATGCCGCGAAACAGCTGATCGCAGCGTGCAGGAGGCTGGGGGGGGGAGGCGCTGATCAGTGGGGCTTGCCGGCTTGCTCAGCACCCACCATTTTTCCCCCATGGAGTCGGTGCCTATGCATCTAGCCCAGTATCCTTTTTCTGACAGTGGCCAGTGCCAGATGTTTCTGGCAGTTGGAGGGTTAGGGACACCCAGATCATGGTGTTACGTCCTTGACCATCTTGGCCAGTAGTTCTCAAACTAGTGCACTGGTGACCTCTTTCACATAGCAAGCCTCTGTGTGCAACCCCCCTTATAAATTAAAAACACTTTTTTACATATTTAACACTATTATAAATGCTGGAGGCAAAGCAGGTTTGGGGTGGAGGCTGACAGCTCATGACCCCCCATGTAATAACCTCGTGACCCCCTGAGGGGTCCCGACCCCCAGTTTGAGAACCCCTGATCTTGGCTAATAGTGGTTGATGGACCTATCTGCTATGAACTTATCTAATTCTTTTTTGAACTCAGATTTACTTTTGGCCTTCACAATATCTCATGGCAGTGAGTTCCACAGGTTAATTGTGGCTCATCTGAAGAAGAATGTCCTTTGGTGTGGTTTAAACCTGGTGTCCATTAATTTCATTGGGTGACGCTGGTTCTTGTGTTATGTGAAGGGATAAATATTTGCTTTCTCCACGCCAGTCATGATGTATAGACCTCTATCCCATTCCCCCTCTCTCAGCTCTATTTTAAACTGAACAGTCCCACCCTTTTTCATCTCTCCTCCCACGGCTAATGTTTATGAGGCCATGGAAAGCTCCGTTTGTGATCTATCTTAACGAGAATGTGCCCTGTCCCTATTGCACATAAAGCCCCACTCATGGCAAACAGACTTGGCTGAAAGGCACTTTCCCAGAGCCAGAACACACTGAACTGTTTCTACCAGCCTGGGAGGAAAGGGAAGGGCAGGGCGTGGAACTGTCATTCCATGGCAAGGGATCAATCCAGGGATGAACATTGAAAGCCAGTGGACAGGTAGGTCAGAAGAGACTGCCCTTGGCTCCCACCTCTGGGAAGGCTAGCACCAGAACAGCCCTGGAGAAGCCAGTCAGGGCCCTGGGGTAGAAGGCAATGGGGCCGCTCCTGAGAAGTGCACCTTTCCCCCGGGGGGTGCTGAGCCCTCTCCGCTCCCTGTGCAGCTAGTGGGAGTTGAGGAGGCTCCGTGCCCGACCCCCATAATAGGAGCAAAGAGAGGGAAAGGCTCAGTTGATGCTAGGGATTTACATACAGACCTGCCTGAGCTACCCGGTCCTTTGTCTCCTGTTGGTGGGCTGGAGATCTGTGTTTAAAACACAGGCAAAGAGACCACACGAGTCTTGTCTCTCAGGCTGTGCGGATAGGGAGCGAGGGGTGCATGTGTGTGTGTTGTTTTAACCCTTGTGATGCTGGGGGGATTCAGAGGAATGGCTCTTGCTCATGCAGCCAGGTCTCCATCCCTCACCCCCCTGCCCAGCATGGAAATTAAACACCAGGGAACATCAGCCATGACTCCCAGAGCCCTGGCCTCGGGCACTTTCAAATCTGATACCAACTGACATGTCAGACATGTTGCTGAATTTACCCCCGTCCGGGCCGAGCAGCAGCCCTGGTCTGTGATGTGCCGGGGCCACGACCGACTGGCACCTGCCAACGTCTGAAAGCTGCCAAGGGAGGCAGATAGGGGCATGGCTTTTTGCTCCATTGGACTAGGCAGTCTGGGAGGGGAGACAGGACAATATTGGTGACTTGGGGACTGTTCTCAATCGGGGGCGAGGCCTGGGTGAGCTTGGAGTGTCCGGTTAAGAAGACTGGGAATGGCCACGGGGAACCCCGGGCACTGATCCTGTCCAACAGAGAGCAGTAACCACAAGCCGCTCGGGTCTGGCCGTACACCCAACCCTTACCTTGCGAGAGAGCCTTTCAGACATGTCGGCAGGTGATGCGAGGTGTCCGGGGCTGGGAGCCGGTCAGCAACCTTCACCCAGATCTCTCCACCTCGCAGGCCTCCATCGCTCACGTTTTCATGTCACTGCAAGAGCGAGTTCCCAGTCAGCCGCTGCAGGCCACCCCCTGCCCCGCTCCACAAGCTGATGGATACAGGACTGGGGAAGATTAGCTGTCACAGCTCATAGCAAGGGTAGGGGATATGGGGAAGGGGGTGGTCCTCAGAGCCAGTGAGGGGGACAAGGAGGAGTACCCCAAACAGAGTTTCAGATGGTCACTGCTTTGGCTGATCAAATCCCCCTCTGCCGAGATGGTCCTCAAATCAGAGGGGCATCTCCCTACATCAGAGCCATCTCCCTTTGTAAGAGCCTCACAGGAAGGGGCCGCGTGGGCTGCTGCTAGAGGGGGACGCTGGGAGATGTAGTTCTTCTGCCCAGGCCTTGCTGTGGGATGCCTGCGTGTGCCAGCCGCAGTCCCCAGGACAGACCCTCCCCAGCTTCCTACGGGAAGAGGGGATAAACTACATCTCCCAGCCGGGCCAGGGCTGAGAGCCAGGCACTGGATGGGGAGAAGAGCTGCAGAAGCACCCGTTCCTGTCCCACTTGCTCAGGGCCGGCTCCAGGCACCAGGTGCTTGGGGCGGCCGCTCCGGAGAGGGGCGGCACGTCCAGGTATTTGGCGGCAATTCGGCAGACGGTCCCTCACTCCTGCTCGGAGCAAAGGACCTCCCGCTGAACTGCCGCCGCAGATCACGAGCGCGGTCTTTTTTTTTTTTTTTGGCTGCTTGGGGCGGCCAAAACCCTGGAGCCAGCCCTGTACTTGCTCGCCCCTCTGCCGGAGCGGGCCCTGGGGCCAGCGCTGAGCCGGCGGCTTGGAGCACCTCTGAGTGTGTGGGAATCGCTCAGATGAGACCTAAATGCTAGATCCCAGCTCCCTGGTGTGGACATTAATGAGCCTGGGGATAAGACCAGGGATTTGCCCTGATCTCCTGAGCTCATATTTCAACCCCACCTCCACAGAGTGCGATGCACTGTGCAAGTCACTATTGTGCAGAGGCCTCTAGCTGTGGGCCTAGAAGTGCTGCCAAATCATGGACATTTCCTGCCTTAACTCCCTGGTGCCCTGAGACCTTAGCACAATGAGGAAACCCTTCACGTGCCTCAGTTTCCCCATCCATAAAACAGGGCTGATGATACTTACCCACCTTCTAATATGCTTTGGGACCCACCGATGATAAAAGACCAGAGTTTCCAATCACAGGCAGGCCCCTGAATACATTTACAGGCAGCTTATCTGAGAGTGGGCTGATTTCCAGAGGGACCAAACCCATTCTCAGTAGGAGTGCTGGCAAGGGCAGGTGCCATGTTCTCATTGCGTCCCCACAGGTCGGCCCCGTGTCAAAGGGTGGCCCCGATCCCACTCCAGTTTAGGCCCCCTCTGGCACCAGAGGCTGAGTCAGCAGGAAAACTTCCTGGAGATGCTGCTGCTCGCTTCACCTTCCCTGGGCCTGGGCTTGAAGCCCTAAAGCCTTAGGGAGATGATATCTCATGGAGAGCACGTCCTTGTGCTGAGATGGACCCTACAGACCATCCGCCAAGCCTCCTTGTCTGATTGGACAGGGTCTCAAAGAGGAAGCCCAGCTCAGTCACCCCACTTTATCTGGGCACATTGCTCCCCCTCTTACTCCCAGTCAACAGCTTCGTTGAGAGGGCTCAGAACCTCGGGCCTACAGAGCGAGGAAACAGATGGTCCCGCAGATCTTGTACTGGTCGGGGCGTTCACTCGGCAGCCGCGCTAGGAAGTGATGGGGGCTGCCGATTGCCAGGGAAAGCCCAGCAGCCTCTTGGCCGGACGGTGAATGCAGCCAAGTGGAGTAACTGTCCTGGAGGACAAGGCACCCGGCGCATTCCTGTAAACCCCTTCAGAGTTAGCGGAGTGCCTGAGAGCTCAGGTGGCCCCAGGGTTTTTGAGTGAGGAGCTGAACAGGAAGGCGGTGGCGGAGACTTGAGCAATGTTAGAGACAGGGCCAGTGAGCTGGAGAGGCCAGGAGGTAAAGGAAGCTGGTGATATGTAGCTGGAAGCTGGACCTCGCAGGGTCCCAGAGCCCCAGTCTGAGCCTGAACATCTACACGGCAATTTTACTGCCCCACCGCCCAAGCTCCGTGAGCCCAAGTGGGCTGACCCGGGCCAGCTGTGGGTGTTTAATTGCTGTGTAGACGTACCCTTGGAGCCGTCCAGCCATGGCACTGCCCACACAGAGCTGTTCCCTGCAGACTTCACCAGTGTTTCACCAGTTTTGTCCCTTGGGAGACTATCCCAAAGGGCCGGTCGGGAAGGCTCCCCTGCCATTCAGCTGAAATTCTCCTTTCCTGAACTTCCTCTCACTTCTCGTGCTCGTAGCAGCATGCGCCACGTCGAACAACTCTCCTGCCTGGGGGCTAACAGCCTACGTCAGCTGTTACGTTTCCCCTTAGCCATCACTTCGCCAGATGGCACATGCCCTGCTCCGTCGATCACTGCTCAGATCCCAATCCCCACATCACTTGTGTCGCTCTGCTCCAAACTCACTTCCATTTGTCAGTACCTAAACTGAACGTTACAGTCCAGGAGTGCTCGCACCACAGCTGTATGGACAAAGTCTATCGCCTTCCTTCATCTGGCCTTTATTTCAGCCAGACCATGTTGTAAATTCAGGTCAAATCTGCTGTTTATTATGACATGTCAGTCTCCATTGGTCATTCCTGCTTTCCCAGTTTCTATCATTCCTTCCGCTTGAAGATCTCAAAACAGGTTCCAAACATACCACATCCATTGTACAGGTTGGGAAACTGAGGCACAGAGTGATTAAGTGAATGGGCCAAGATGATGCAGCAAGCTAAGGATCAGAACCCAGGAGTCTTCTGGCCCCATGTTCTGACATCTAAACAATACTGCCTCTCTGTAGTTTTTCAGAAGGTCTTTTCTAGGTGGTCTCACCATCATTCTGTTGTCAAGTTTGCCATCATTGGAACGCAGGTTCATCTAACCCAGGGACTTGGCTCTGACTAGGGTTACCATACGTCCGGATTTTCCCGGACATGTCCGG